CGCTGAACAAGCGGAAGAGACCACTTCTGTGCTTGTCTCGCTCCCTCACCATCCCGGGCGCAACACCGCACAGCCTGCCCAAAGGCAACCCTTGTACTGAACAGCACTTCACCCCTCTTGTTCTCGTTGCCCACGGCGTCAAGCGGGGGAGTGCTTATAGTGGCAGCACCGCGACGTAGCCATCCCAACTTCGTCCTCTAGCATGCGAATCGCACTCGTCGGCGCTGCTGCTGTTGTACTCGCCGCTGCCCCTGCTGCCTTGGCCTGGGGCGCTGCTGGCCATGAAATCGTCGCGACCATTGCGCAGATGCACCTCCACCCCGACGTGCTCCCCGTGCTCTGCGACATCCTCGACCCCTCTCTCTCCAATCACTCCAGCCCGGCGACACACCCGCCCTGCCACCTCGCCCCAGTCGCTGCTTGGGCAGACCGCGTCCGCATGATGCCCGCATACCGACACACCGCGACCTGGCACTACGTCGGCGCTGTAGACGACTCACCTGGGACTGCGTGTGCTTTCCCCGGCGAGCGTGGCTGGAACGGACGCCGCGACTCGAACGTCCTCGCCGCCCTGGGGAACCAGACCCGCGCTGTCGCCGGGTTCTTGGACGGAGAGGGCGGCCTCGCCGACGCCGCGGACGCGCTCAAGTTCCTCGTGCACTTTGCGGGCGACATGCATATGCCGCTGCATCTCACTGGGCGCGAGCGAGGGGGGAACGGCGCGAAGGTCACTTTTGATGGGAGGATGACGAGTAAGTATCCAGTGTCTATTCATGGTCGGTGTAGGGCGAGCAGGCATTGTCGCTCTTGTGTTGGCTCCTTGTGTTGTACGGTAGACCCTATCGCGCCCGCTCTACGAGCGTTCAGCGGGCACGATAGCGTATTGAATGGTAGTACAAGGACGAGGAGATGAGAGTAAGGAGCAAGCACGCGGCGGGAAGCATCTGCCTGCAACAAAGCAGGTGCACCCCGCAACGTGCAGTGTCGTATGCAGTCCCCATCGGGTGTTCGCGAAACGCTTATTCAATCGATGTACTGACCCGCCTGGCAGACCTCCACTCCGTCTGGGACAGCTTCCTCATCGCACAAGCCCTGCGCACGATCCCCGCCAATTACTCGCGTCCCATGCTCGGCGCGCTCGAGGTGCACCTCCGCGGCTCCATCTACGACGGCTACGTCCGCCGCCTCATGCTCGACGGCTTCGGCATCGCCGGCGCTGCGGGCGAGGGCCGCTTCGGCGCTGTAGCGGAATGGCTCGAGTGCCCGACCGGCGACGACGACGATGCCCTGCTGCCCTGGCCGACAGTGCACACGGTGTTGCGCGTGGTCCAGCACACGCTCGGCATGGCCACCGGGCTCATCAATCGCAGCCGACGGCACCTCCACCACAAGCACGGGGGCGAAGGTCTCTGGAACTGGCTCATGGGGGGCACAGCGGGCGACGAGGCGCGCTGGGACGACGACGTGCTCTGCCCGTACGCATGGGCACGCGACATCCACGCGCTCAACTGCGCGTTCCCGATCTGGCCTGCAGAGTTCGACGTGCCCCACGACGTCGAAGGGGGTGCGCGCGGGGAGATGGGTCGGCGGCCCCGGCCGCACCCTGAGCTGCTCGAGCTCGACACGCCAGAGTACGCGGGGCGCCTGCGGGAGGGCTGGGTCGTCGAGCGGTTGCTCGCGATGGCGGGTATCCGGCTTGCGGGCATACTGAATGGCTTGGTTCTCGGTGAGGTGGATGTGTACACCCATTGAATCACTCTGTTATTATGGATGAAGGAACTGCTGGACTGGTGTGTACTTTTATGTTGATTTGGGATGTCGATATATGTGTATAGGCTTTCTGCAAGATGTTCTGAGATCGAACTGCGCGCGCTGCTGACAGTGAAAGCCACCGCCCCGCGTAGTGGCATATACATACAAATCCAGACCAGGGACGACAGTTTCAACCCCCTACGGTCAGGCATACATATTTAACTGGACGTTACAAAGAAGTACACTGGCAGGATAGCTGGGCTACAAGTTGGGTAGAGGAATATTGATGATATCCACCATGCCCTTGTACTGATCTTCCGAGTAGGGCGGGTAACGGCCCCCCATGAACGGCTCGGCCCTGTGACATAATAAGCATCATTCTGAACTGAAGGCCTGGGTACATACGCAAGTGGGACGTGAGCGTAGCTCCGCAGGTGCGTGAAGGCGTCGAATGTATATTTGCCGTTTGAGCTACCGTCTGTACGTTGGGGTCAGTATAGCGCCTCGGCCCTGTGGGATGCGGACTACGTACGCCCCGAGTCTTGTTGCCCACCGAAGGGCGCTTCATATACTGACGTGTGGTGTGTTAGTCTGCGCTGATGGCACGGGATGTCATGTTGCGTTTCTCTGACCTGCTACCTGGCTAGTCGTATCGTTGATGAGGATGGTGCCGCTGCGCGTGCGTTCGAGGACTGCATATCTGGGTCAGTTGTACCTCGAAGGGTAGAGCGCAAAGCATATACTTTGTTGTTGGATGTCCTCGCTGTTCGTGAACAGATAGATGGCTAGAGGGATACTCCTGATGCATCGTCATCAGTCGGGTGCCCTTCAGGATAGGGATGGACTCACTGCTCGTTAACGAGCTTGATCGCTTCCTCAATGTCATCCACTGGAACAAGCGGTAATATCGGGCCGAACAACTCCCTGGTACATGTTCAGCATCGGTGTTGACGCACATCCGTGTCACGTACTCTTCCATGAGTGCATCGTCCGGCGCAACGTTCTTCACTATCGCGGTCGATACACGCCTATCACCGTCGGACTCGCCGCCCCTGAGGATCTCGCCCTTGGTCCGCGCGAGCAGCTTCCGCACTCGCTCGTGGTGGGCAGGGTTGATGATACTGCCCCACTTTGCGTCTTCATGAAGGGGCCCCTTCGGCCAAAAGGCATCGTAATGCTTCAGCAGTGCAGCGGCAAAAGCGTCTTGCCTCGCCCGGGCAACGTAGACGTGGTCCGGGCTAATGCAGAGCTGCGACAGAGCGCGTGAGCCGGGCCCATCGAGCACCATCCGACGTCAAAACTTACCTGCCCACAGTTCTGCGCCTTGCCGTACAGCACGCGCTTCGCCGCCAGGTCGAGGTCCGCGTCATCCGCGATCACGACGGGCGACTTGCCGCCGAGCTCGAGGGTCACGGGCGTCGCGTGTCGCGCCGCGGCAGCGGAGACGATGCGCCCGGTCTTGCCGCTGCCGGTGAAGGCAAGGTGGTCCCACCTGAGCTCGAGCAGGTGCGTCGTCTCTGGGATGCCGCCGTTCACGAATGTGTACGCAGCGGGGTCGAGGTACTTCGTGCAGAGCTCCTCCATGATCCGCGCGGAAGCGGGCGCAAGCTCGGAGGGCTTGAGCACGGCGACGCAGCCCGCTGCGATGGCGCCTGCGAGGGGAGCGAAGTTGAGGACGTACGGGAAGTTCCAGGGCCTGGTGAAGCATATGTGAGACGGCGCCGAGTTGGTTGTGTAAGGGCGTACCCGATAATCAGCACTACGCCCTTTGGGACTTTGTAGATTGTTGCGTCCCATCCGCGCTTGAAGTCCTCCACCACGTCGACTTTCTCCGGGCGCGTCCATTTGTCCAGGTTATCGAGAGCATATCTGACTGCAGACACTATCCCGTTCAGCTCTAGCACTACTTCTAACTTGGGCTTGCCAAGGTCTTCATTGGCTGCTGCCTCGAGCGCTGGGATGTTCTCTTGCACGAGCCGCCCTAGTTGGTACAGCTGTTTGCGGCGGTAGTCCAGTGGTCGGGTCGTGCCTGCATCGAAGGTCTTGCGCAGTCTGACGTAGATCTGAACTATGGCTCAGTCACGGTATGTCCGGTCATTACCAGTACGCACCTGGTCAATCTCCGCCAAGGTGTGGTATTGCAATTGAGTGGAAGACATCCTGGGCTGCAGTTCGTTGTCGTAGGCACGATCCTGTAGTCAATATGTACCGGTAAGTCGGTCTGAGCTGACGAATGCTACTGAGGATCGTGTACACGGATTAGTGTTGTGAGAACTTGAGTCGTGAAAGGGGAAGTCCTTCATATAAGACCACAATAAACAACCAACTATATAACACCGAGAGCACCACATGGTCTTCCGAACATTCCCATTAACGCCGCGTGATAGCCTCTAGGTCTGATATACCGCTCATCGCTTCGTGCGCCTGTCTGTGGAGCTTCGGTGGAGGAGGAGGAGGACATCCATCTCGGCACCGACCGCCGGTGCGTACGCATAAATTAACGTCTTGACGATGACTGCGGAGCCTTGTCAGATAGATCACCATGCGCATCACGCATGCAATGTCTGTATTTCGAGTGCGATCCCATCAGCATGGATACTGTGTCGAGCCGTATTATACATCGGCGGCAGCATGGTGGGCTTTTGAAACAGAGGCCTAAAACCAGCCGAAATTCGCCTCATCAATAAGGTAGCCCCATTCTTAGTATGTTCACATGCCGATGTCCATTATTTGGCCCAGGAGAGGCTTCATGGCAGGCGACTGCCCCGGGTAATGTTGACGGAGAGTTAGCGTTGAGACCCATCTGCCGACCAAGTTGGTGAAGGCCCTCAGGCTCCGCCATGGATCACATAAAAAAACTGGTTCAAGCCGGACTCGAACCGAAGACCTCCTGTGCACTGACATGTGAGACAGACGTGATAACCAACTACACCATTGAACCAATGTGGCGATGATGGCAAACAGGAGTGTCATCAGAAGTGCTTTTTTCACCTCAAGCTGTCTGTCAAGTTTGTGAAAAGACGGACTACGGACGTCTAACGTGAGACAGTAGCCAACAACACTATCGAACCGATACATGAGTTCAACCTACAGAATTGTGACTGTCCTCTTTGTGTCTTCTGTCAGTGGTGTCAGGAGAGCAGACTTGCTCGGATACATTCAAGTTGATCATATGTTCTTGCTTGCAGCACATTTAGAACATCATCCAACGTTTTCGCCTCACATGTTCCAAGTTCACGAACAAAAACTGGTTCAATCCGGACTCGAACCGAAGACCTCCTGTGACCACCAAGATGTGAGACAGACGTGATAACCAACTACACCACTGAACCGTGTAGTCCCATACTACAGGGATATCTCAGGAGTACAGCATCGTTGCGCATATGTACAACCGGAGAATAGGTGTTTGAAACATGGGAATCAAGGCGTTGCCGTAACAACTTCAATACGGGGAAGATGATACACTGCATCTAGCGGATTGGACAACAACAATGACAGCATACGTACACTGCAGGATATCTGATCATACAACTCACTTGACGATCGTGGCGTCTGCGCCATCCACAACTTCGTTCAGCCAATAGCCATAGGTGCATCCAGAACTTCATTCAGTTCCCGCTGTGCCGCGTCTTGCGGGCGCTTCGAGAAGATGACGTCCTTCAATACTTGGGCGATCAAACCGTGCTGAGCCTCCGTCGCCAGCTTCTCACTGTAGGCAGATACATCAGTATATATCTGCACGCACTCACGGCGAGACTGACCTGTCCTTAGCACACTTCAATAATTGGTTCTGGTCCTCCTTCTTCTTCTCTTCCTTCTAATCATTGGCTTTAACGTGTGTCCCGTCTGAGAAGCGTTGATACTGACCTTCGCAGCCTTGTCATCTTTGAGGACAGGCGGAAGCGCCTTAGTGTTCGGTACATTTGTTTGTGCTTTCGCTAGTTTTTGAGCCAGATCCGAGAGCTGAGAAGCCGCGTACGCTCGATTCTGTGTAGCGTGGATGAGTTATGGCACACAAAACGGTGATGCACCTTGCGTACCGAGATCAACGCGCTCTGGCTCAGTGTGTTGACCCAGTACTTGTTCCAGAGCAAACCAAGGAGCTCGGCGTCAAGGCTGCTTTTGAACACCTGCACCTCGAGAGGATAGTACTGATTCGCATGGACACCGAAGTCCTCGATCTTGCTTAGCGGGATACTCTGGTATTCGCCCGAGCCAGCGTCTGGCGGGACATAGGACTCAGGGTACGTCCTGAATGCACCGATATCGACCTTGCCCGCGGAGATCGTGCGGTTCGGGTCGATTACGACTGCAACAAAGGGATCCTGGTACTTCTGGTTCGTCATCTGCGTGTTGACGTCGATACCGGAGAGCCAGCAGCCGTAACCTGGGTGCGAATGGTACCATCCGACTGCGTTCTCGTAGCGGCCGACACGCTCGCTGCCCTGTATGTACTGCACCATGTACTCGTTCGCCTCATTTGCGGCGTTGACACGCGTCTCCGTGCCCTGCACAGGCAGGGCGAAGGAGTCGACGATGACGAGGGTGCGATCCATTATCTTCCCGTGCATGAGGCCCATGATCTCGTACGGTACACCTGAGCGGGCGTGGATAACCTGTATACTGCATAAGCGACGGCAGCGAGCGCGTCGACTGGTCCTCACCATCTTAATGAGCGCAACCGCAGATATTTTGCACACTCGGAAGTAGTGTGGGCTGCAGAAACATCGTTAATCTAGATGTCCGCACCATGCATAACGCGCGTACGTACTCTCGCGCCCATGGTGCCTCGTTGAGAAGTCGGCGGTTAGCTTCTTGGTCAAACCTATAGATCTCGTCTTGTGGTGAGACGTCTACTATGTCGTTGGTGAGCGAGAATGTCTTCAGCGCCGTATTCGACGACGACGCCATGGTGGTCGTCGAGGATGAAGTGGCGGCACACGTTGTGCGCCACACAGATCGATATGCGCACATAGATAAAGCCGACTCATTTGACATGGTGCGGATACTGATGATTACTGATGATGGCTACAGCACACAATAGTCTCCTTATTACGAGATTGTATTCGATACTTACCTGCTTCACATCTCGGTTTACAAATGTGTCTTTGAATGCCCCCTCCACTTCGCGTTGGCGTCGACGTGCTCAACATTGTCTCTCGCCATGGGCAAAGCTCGCACTCTCTGTGTCCGGTAGCTTATGCCTGGCTATACTGTTCCTCGGCCGCTCGTTTCGCTTCCACTGCCATCACGCCTTCAGGACATTCGACCTCACCGACATCCCTCACCCGTTCTCCGGCCAACCTTGGCCCCAGGAACATTCCGGAGCCGAGCACGCCGCATCCCAATACCCGACCTACGCAAATCCAGATAAAGCAGCAGCGGGTACGCTCACGCGGCGGGCAGAATCTCACGGAGCGGTGGGCCCGACTCGAACGCTCTCTGCGGGGCAAGGAGGGATATGAGGCCAAGATAGACACCCTCATAGATCAAGTCGACCACATCTCAACTAATGCAACGTCGAGCACGACCCACCCGCGAACGTTCCACGGTCTGTTGTTGCCTGAGAGGCCTAGCGAGCCTCAATCGGACGGTAAGCCCACTCCCTCCTCTCAGGGGTCCCATTGCATGTGAAGTGCCTTCATACAGAATGCTGCATGTCTAGCTGCGCGATCTGCGTATACGACCTATATGCCGAGGCGCTGGAGGACTATAGACACGCCCTAGACACCCTACAGTCCGCCCTTGAAGAGCGAGGTGTACCGGAGCGAGAGTGGCCAGCGGAGGTCAGAAGGAAGAGTGGTGCTGGGATGGAACAGCCTGCAAGGCTGTCGCCTCAAAATATCGCGCTCAGCGCGTTCGAGGAGCTAGAGCGATCTCTGCGGGCGAAGAGGGAAGCTAAAGCAGCAGGCGATCCGGGTTAGTACGTGTTCAGTATGTCTATGCAATGTAGTTCTATCATCTTCAATGACGGTGCGACAGATAAGACCGTTGATGCTCCGCTTTTCGTGCGCAGGGAGCGCAGAAAGGCATACCGAACTGCTGCCGCACTGTATGAAGGATTACAATGGCTCCTCTTCAGTCAGAAATAACCCGTCGTTTACTGTCGTCGAGTGCGGAACCAGAAGCAGAGAGCTAAGTGCATCTGAGCATGTCCCACGCAGACCGTAAACGGAGTCGGACTGTCGCGTCACCTACCGTATCGGACGCATCGTCACTATACAACGCGAAAGTATACTCTTTACGGATACCACAAGGGGCGGGGAACGTCGTAACAATATTCCAAGACATTGCAAACTCTGTATATGAGATAGAGATCCTTGATGACGAACTTCCCGCTCATCCAACGATGGACAAAAATGTAGGAACCTAGCATAGTTGCTGTTGCCGTTAAACTAATGGATACATGTATTCTATAGTCGTACAATAATTCCCGCCTTAAAGGCATCCAATACAACAGATAATGCAATGTGTGCGTGTTAGTGTGCGATGTGAGCATGCAGACAACAATGGAACCCAGCCAGACCCAAAGAAGAGAAACATAAAAAAGGAACATGAAGCAGCACCTAGGCAAACATACTAGCCACCTCGGCCAACCGGCAGCACTACCAGTGACACCGCGCAGGGACCGCAGGGCCATTCGCAAGCTCCGCGCCCACCTTCTGCACAAGGTGCATCCCGAGAGGCTCCAGCGCCTCCCTCCACACTTTCGCGCGCCGGCGGCCCTCAAAGATGCTCATCGACCGCTCGCCCGTCTCGCCCTCCGGCCCAAACACAAACACCTTCTCCGCGTCCCACGGCGCCTCGCCATATGCGAATGCGAGCCACCGCTCCTGCATCGTGTCGCGCACACGCGTGTACGCATAGTCGTCCACGACGGGCACGCCCCAGTCGTCGACAAACCCGCTGTCCGTCGACACGTCCGAGTCCGAGTTCGACGCGCCCCTCTCAAACAGGTCGTCGAGCGACGATATCAGCGCGGGCGCTTGTGCGGGGTCCGGGCGGCGCATGTACTCTGGCTCGTCCGCGTCCACGTCCGAGTCGAAGTGCTCCGGCATGAAGTCGAGCGACTGAGGGGGAGCGGCTGACGCCGGCAGCGGCACGTTGTCGAACAGGTAGACAAGGTCGACGGCGTGGTGCGGCACCGCGCGCGCCGGGCCCTCCTGGTCGAACACATAGCGGTACACACCGTGCCCGCCGCGCTCACGCCTCGCATGTGCAGCGATGCACTCGGTGGGCCAGGCGAAGCGGGTGTCGTTGATGAGCTCGAGCACACGCGCGTGGAGCTCCTCGTGCGGCGCATGTGGGTGGATGTCGTACGCGCGGAGCAGGGTGTTCGCCTTCGTGAGCGACTGGCACACCGCACGTACTCTCCGCTCGATCGCCGGTGCAGACCAGAGCGACGCAGGCAGAGCCCAGAGAAGGCCCTCATCACTGCAGTCGCCGATGAGGAGGGGCTGGTAGCGCGTAGGGCTGTGCCGGGCGTGCGACCGGGAGCGGGAAGGGGCACGAGCATGTGTGTGGCTGTGGTTGTGGATATGGTTGAGTGAGTGATGAGAACGGCCGTGTCGGTGATCGGCGGGCTGCTCGACCTCGGGGACGAGCGAGCCTGAGAAAAGTTTGTGGAAGAAGACGCCGTCGTTGACGGCGCGGGGGTACCCGGCGAGCGCAACGAGCTTCTCGGCGTCGACATGGCGCAGATCGTCGATGGACTGAACATGGAGTGCGGCCATATACCGCGACAACTGTGAACCAGCAGTGTGGACTGTGGGAACCTCGAGGTCCATGATCGCGCTCTGGACGATAGCACATTGGAAGAGGGGCTGCTTCTCGTTCGCAGCGGAGTGAAGATGGCACAGAATGTCAGCTGCACCGGTCGACTCGCCGAAGATGGTAATGTTAGTGGGGTCGCCGCCAAAGGCCGAAATGAAGTGGTAGACCCATTCAAGGGCTCTCCGCTGATCACGGAGGCCTATTGAGTGATGTCAGACCCGGCACAACACTAATGGGCAGCAGACGTACCGTAGTTGCCCACACCCTCGTCGCCTGCGGCCTTGTTGTCGTCGCGGAGGGCGAGGCTGGCGGCGAAGCCCAGCAGGCCGAGTCGGTAGCTGCGCAGTATCACATGAATGCCCGCAGGAAAGAAGTTGGAGAGAAGTACGCACTTGAAGGAGACCATGATCACTGGCTTGTCGATGAGCATGCTTTTTTGCACGAAGGCGCCGCCATCGTAGACCCAGTGGGACCCAGAGCCATGGTTGGCCCTAGAAGAAGATGAGCAGGTGGCGGCGGCAAGATGGGCTGCAACTTACCCGTGTACCCAAAGCATAAC